CTTGAAACTAGTTCACTGCCTTTGCAAATTCAACGCCAATAAAACACCAGTGAAACAAATAGTAAAATATTTAGGCAATAAAATGCTAGCCAACTAATATATCATATCAGCACAGCAATAATATTTCTCATAATCCAAATGGTAGCTTAATTTTTTAAAAATTAATTAATTAAAAAAATTAAAAAGATTCACCATCTTTTAATATAAGTTGTATGATTTTATATTGATTGATAGTTTTAATGGAATTTTAATGTATCTTTATATATGTTGTTAGCCACCTTGAGCCTGCCGAATGATGGGGAGGGCGGGATATCAATGTAAATATAAATAAATAAATTTTAAATATCTGTCCCCTAAAAATGTACTATATATATAGGGAGTAGGGCTGCCAAATGCCCCCGGGGGGCGGAATTCCCCCCGCTTTCGAGCCCCGATTTCCGCACGCCATTTGAGGGGAAAACTCTTTGTTTTCCCCTCAAATGGCGTGGCCCCGCCCCCAGCGTGCGACGTCACTTCCGGGTGACGCGCACGCCTAAGACGCCGGCCGGGAGCCCCCTGCTCCCGGCCAAAAAACATTTGGGAACCCTAATAGCCCAATCTTGTCAGATCTCAGCAGCTAAGCAGGGTCAGTACTTGAAGGGGGGACCTCCAAGGAAGGCTCTGCAGAGGAAGGAAATGGAAACCACCTCTGCTTCTCACTTATTATTTATTAATTTATTTATTCTTTAGATTTGTATCCCGCCCTCCCCAAAGGCTCAGGGCGGCTAACAAGGGCATAAATGCCTAATAAAAACAATAAGAACTGTATAAAATACAATACAATATACAACCTAATACAATTAATAAAATATCGGTACTCCACTACTTGCTCCAATTCAGAAAATCAAGATGGTGTTCTGCAGCTGTTATAACACACAACAACCATATGTCCCCACAACCCTATCATCTGTCAGGCACATCTCGCACCCCCGATGGTACCTGCGCCAGCGGTGGTAAGGGTGCGGTGATGGAAAAAGCGTTGGTGGAAAAATGCCTTGCCTTGTAAGGCCCTTGCTGGCATTGCTGTAAGTTGGCTGTGACTCAATGGCACTTTATACACACACAAAAAATTACTGTTTAAAATCTATATGTTTGCAAAAAAACCACCCTGTTGGGGTTTTTTTACTAGGAGGTTTTAATTTTTAAAACAGTAAAAGTGACACCTGCATATTCACGGGAGGTGGGGTAGGGTTGCCAGCCTCCAGGTGGGGCCTGCAGATCTCCTGGAATTACAACTGATCTCCGGACGACAGAGATCCGTTCCCCTGGAGAAAATGGCTGCTTTGCAGGGTGGACTCTATGGCATTATACCCTGCTGTCCTCTCCCTCAAACCCTGGCCTCCATACACACCACCACCCAAAGTTCCAAGTATTTCCCAACCTGGAGTTGATAACTCTAGGTGTAGGAAGAATGTTCAGATGGCATCTTGGGTTTACCCTAGTGATCCAAAATGGTGCCTAACAATGAAAAGAGGTTAACAAGGAGGAGTGGGACAAGGAGATGGGAGAAGAGAAGAAAGGAGAAACCGCAGAAGCTGTGAAAGGGGAGGAGGGCTGTTGGCAGGAAAAAACAGGTGGCTTTAGGAGGGGGCTGGGGACAGAAACTCAGAAATACTTGAAAGTTTAAAATCTCATAGATATTTATTTATTCAAAAATATACAGTCTCCTTCTTCGCGTGGCTTGAAGTGGTGTGCGGTGCATTAAAAAGTTAAAATGCTAGAATAAAAATATAACAAACAATGCAATATAACTAACAGCCCCAAAAGCAAAACAATTTAAACTCAACTGCTCAGTACAGGAAAGACCACAGAGTTGGATCCTATCAACTTTTCTGCTCAGTCAAGTCCAGTTCCTTTCCCCGTTGCAGCCATATGGTTCTTGTCCACATGGATACCACGCAGCATTTTCTTCCTTCTTCTAGCCAACGGAAAAGGTAATAGGATCCAACCCGCAGATTCTAAAGCCATAAAGCCCCTTTGATAGAAGACAGCTTTGCACAGCTTGCAGAAAGATGGTAAGGAGGGCATCCTACGGGCTGTTTCACAATGTGGGGGCCCCACTAGGGTTGCTGACTTCCAGGTGGAGATCTACTGGAGTTATAACTGAGACCAGTTCCCCCTGGAGAAAATGGCTGTTTTGGAGAGTGGACTGTATCTCCCCAAACTTTGCCTCCCCCAGGCTCCACACCCAACCCGAAGTTAGCACCCATAGTGGCCATTGAGAAGAAGAAATGCCTTACCATGGAGGACTGAAGTTGCAGGATTGGTGGCACAACTAAGCTATTTAATGTTGTGAAAGGACAAACTACTTAAAAACATTCGCAGAGCTGCATGGAGTAATGGAGCTTGAATGCCACCGGATGGAATTATTTGCATTAATACAAAGATTAAACTAATAGTCTGTGCACTAGTGACAGCCAGCAGGCTGCATCTTCCTTACGATTAAGTTTCCAGAGCGTCTCAGTGACATACAGAAGTACAGACTTATGAGGTTCCTGCAATATGCAATAGATCTTTGAAATAAATGACCTTTGGCAGCAGGACGATGAGATGTAAATGTCACAAGGACTTTGCATGTTCATTTGTAGAGAGTGTCTGGCCAGTCCACTTAGCACAGGCTCATTCTGAATCATGACTGGCTTGTAGCCCACCCAGATCGTGTAATATCATTTTTAATTAATAGCTTGTTGGATCCCACCCTTAAACTCTAGGTATATGTTTTTGGAGAATCCTGTCCTAGCTTTTTGTTGTAGAAAAATAAAACAAAAGTCCAGTGGCACCTTAGAGACTAAAGACATTTATTTCAATATAAGTTTTTGTAAGTCATGCTCACTTCTTCAGACCAGTGAATGGGAATAGTGCTGGGAAATCTTATAGGGAAGCCGGGGAGGAGAGTCAAGCTCTGGTGTAAATTACACCATGAGTCTTTCAAGTGTAAATCTCAATAGAAGGGGAAAAGGAAGCAGTTGATGTAGAAAGGTCACTCCTTACTCCCACCATAAATCAACAGAATTCGCAGTTACAAATAGTGGATAGTGAGGGAGGTCATATTCTCAGACCGATGAACATTAACTGATATTGGTACAAGGTTATCGTCTGATAAAACGCAGTAAAACAATAAGCATTGCTAAATTTGCGAAAGAGAGGCAGTGCTGTACCTGCAAGTTCATCCACTAGACTGATGACATCATCAGCTGTCCACTCTTTTGCTTCCGGGTCATAAAGTAATTTAATAGCATCTGCTAGCCCCTTTAAACTGGTCTCATCAGTTGGACCTTCCATCATTTTCTGCCAAACTACATGCCCTGAATTACATGAAACACAAGAATCACGGATGAGAGGAGAGAAAATTTAACATTGCCTCCTTCCTACTCTCCAAAACACAAGAGAAAACATTGTGTTAGCAGCCCCCACAGGTCAAGGGACAGAACCTCACTGCCTGGGAGGGGTGATTTTGTTGGCTTCCCTACAAAACTGACAGAAGGGAGTCCATTTGTGAGGGTTTGTGGCCTGAGTCTTTCATAGCTGAAATAAACTTTTCATAGTGCCACAAGACTTCTCTGTACCATAGTGAGAAGCACTGCTGTAAGCTACCCAGAGTTATTGCAAGAGGAACCAAAAATATAAGAAGTCATGGATATAAAATAATTAGAAGGAGGAGAGAAAGTGTGTGTGTGTGGGGGGGAAATCAAGCCTTCCTCACTGTGAGCTATTGAAAAACTGTCAAGCAACTTCTTCATTGCCTGAGGAAGAAAAAAGTTTGTGTAAGCTGATTTCTCCCTTGGACACCAGGGGTTCATTAATCACATTGTGTGCTTTATGTCCCAAGGATACAGACACAAACCAATTCTAAACACCATTTACTTCAGCATGGAAAGAAAAACTGGAACTGGAGACCTCTATGTATTGTCCCATAGAAAACCCACACTTTACAACGTAGGGTTGCCAACTCCGACTTGGGAAATTCTTTTAAAACACAATTTAAAAAAACAGTGGAGCAGCTGAATGAAGCTGTTTATCCATCGCCATCTTGCCCCTTTGGGAAATTCCTGCAAATTTGGAGGCAGTGCCTGAGGTGACTGGAGTTTGATAGGGGAGGGAGCTCAGCAGAGCCCCTTTAGGACTTCTGTTTCTCCTAGCCTCTATGATAAACCATAGAGTCCAACCTTGTAAATTCCCATGGCCTCCATGGGAGCTGATCTCTGTAATCTGGATACCGGCTATAATTTCAGGAGAACTCCTGCAGTCCCACCTGTGGCCTTATTACAATGCCAATTTCTTCAACAAGAATCATGTAATTTTGCACATTTTCTTGTAAATGTTGATCACCAGATTTCTTTTTTTTATTTAAGTTTTTATTCGTTTTGTATTAAGTCAAGTAACATATATATCGTATACAGTATGAGTAACATCAATCTATTACAAAATTAAGGAACGTCAAAAGTCTGAAAAACAACTATTTTTAACAAAGTTAGAATGATTATAGAACTCACTAGAGTCTCAGGGGACCCACATATGTCAATTATATAAATTCTTAAAGGTAAATACAAATCAACAATATCAATAACCTGTATGAGGAAATAGAGGGGAAAACAGTCTGCTAGTAGTTACAGATTCGTAAAAAACTTCTACATCCATCTCCGTAATTGCTGCCAGGAGGAAGGCAAGAAATCTTCTGAAGCCAGGAATTCTAAAATAGGATTCCACTTTTCCATTATAGGTTTATCTATCGGTTTCAGAGCTGTTCTGTTAAGTTTGTTTGTTACAGAATTCATGAGAAATTGGTCCCACAGCTTTTTTTTTCAATAAGTGTTTTTTATTTTGAACAATATATACAACAGTACATTCATAACATATATTGACGCTATGCAATAATCAACTTTCTCAACCCTTAAGAGCCCTTTTAATTTTGATACCATAGCTTCAGTGTTGGCGGTTTTGGATCTTTCCAACATGTCGCAATCGCTGTGCGAGCAGCATATATCATAACATCCAAGGTCTGTTTATGTTTGTGTGTTTCAAATTGGGGCGGCCAATGTTTTAGGAAGAGATTTTCAGATTTTAGCAGGATATCTAAGCCTATGACTTTAAGTATCATTTGTTTTATTTCTTCCCAAAATTTAGCTATTTTCTCACATTCCCAGCAGGAAAGTGCAAATGTGCCAATTTTGTCGCATTGTTTCCAACATTTTGGCGAAATCGTTGGGTGCATGTGAGAAAGACGATGGGGGGTCAAGTACCACCTCGTTAAGATCTTAAAATCTTGCAGCTCTAGTGGAATAGAGTTTGGATACGGGTTTTTGATCACCAGATTTCTCATAAAATTTGGCATATGCTTAGTTTATGATTGAATAAGGCTACTTACCATCCAGATTAGAGGCAGGCCCAAAAATTATATATAGTAGCCGGGCTTGATTGACCATTGGCCATGGTTTTAAAATACGCGTCAGCCAAAACGCCGAATCACTTGAATGGACCCAGTGGTTTAACAAGACACTGCGGCAAAATATCCTTATCCTCAGCTCCAGTTTTCGTGCACTTCCTAGGACAAATCATAACAAAATACAGAAATCAGAAAGGATAAAATCTGGACCTTTGCATGAAGGGAGATAATATAAAATTAGCACCCACTTATATCTCTAAGGAGGGACATGCTAGGGGTCTACAAAATTATGCATGGGGTGGAGAAAGTGAATAGAGATAACTTTTTCTCCCTCCTGCATAATATTACAACTTGGGGGCATCCACTGAAGTTTGGCAATAGTTCAGGTTGGACAAAAGGAAGTCCTTGTTTATTCAAGAAGTGATTAATTTGTAGGACTCCCTGCCAGTAGACAAAATGATGGCCATAAGCACAGATGGTTTTAAAAGGGGATTAGCCAAATTCATGGAGGAAAGGTCCATCAATTGCTTCTAGCCAAGGTGGCTAAAAGGAATCTCCATATTCAGATTCAGTAAACCTCTGAATGCCAGTGTTGGGAAGAAACATCAGAGAAAGGCCTTATCTTTATGTCCTCTTCACTGGACCTTCAGGGGAACTGGCTGACCACTGAGTGAAACAGAATGCTGGACTAGATGGTCCACTGGTCTGTTCAAGCAGGGGTCTTATTATATTCTTATCTTTCTGTAGAATCAATACAGGTGCAATGGTAGCTAGGAGGTAGAGTCCTTCCAAATGGGGCTACAGCTGAGAGGGCAGGAAATTGTCAGGCACGCTTGTATTATAGCTGGACCCAACTCCAGCTGAAGAATCCTTCCCCAAGGAATAATTTGTAGAGAACTTTAACTGTTGTAGTTTGCTTTTATCTCAGCTTCAATGTACAGTTTCCAGAATCTTCCAGAGCTTGGGACCTGGGCAGCAAAGGTGTTCATAGGTCTTCTGTGCTTTATCTATAGGTTGATTGTGTGCCTCTCAAATGAGAATGTGCCTGGTGTCAAGGTCATATGGATTCTCTTCTAGTTTCTTTTCAGCGTTTTTTACTTTTTCTGGGACATATTTAGCAACCTGATCACCAATGTGAGTTTCTCCAGATATGGTAAGTTAAAATGGTCCCCATGAAGGGGGAGGAGAGGCAGTCTTGAGTCTCTGTTTCTTACCCCCATACCCTGTCTCCTTCCATCCTTTGGCTAAACCCCAGGGTCCTCCTAGCCACACAGCTAACCCACTAATTGCCCCTGCATGCCACCTCTCCTAGTCCAAGGAACGAAATGGCACCCTTTAATTGTTGTGGTGTAAAATGCAAGTTGTTTAAATGGCCAATTCTACAAATTCAATTTCAAGGCTCTCACCTTTGTCTCCCCGGCTCCTTAGTTCAGAAGAAGAGGTATGCAGGACATAAAAGTCCAAACTTACATCATGCTTCCTATCATCAACTATGGGAATGTTTACCAGGTTTGCTGCTGACAGCTGTCTGCACTCTCCTGGGTAAATTGCTTAGTTCACAAAGGAAGTTGTAAACCCGATGACATTCTAGTTCATCCCAACCTGCAGTTAAGGTCTGAAAACAATACAGAAAAAGCAAGCCAGTGTAGATGCAGAAATCACCATCTTTCATTACGAAGTATATAGTATTTTCTGCAGTTTCCCAAAGACCTGAGAAGCAGGGGAAAAAAGACAGCAAGACTTCATCAACGTAGGAAAGTGATGAGAAACAGTGTACAGCCACAGAAGAAACTCTTAACTGTAACTCTATATTGCAGGGGACAGTTTAGACTCTATGGTATGAGCTTATGTGAGTCACTGCTCACTTCTTTAGACTTATTTCCATTTATTCTTTGCATCCTCAGGGACTGAATCCTCCTGGACCGAACTGAGACCTAGGTTTCCTGTCTCATTGCCAATGCTGATATCTCCATGGCCCTCGTAACAAATGAGTTCAACACCTCTGGTTTAGAGGGTCTATTCACATGGTACAACATGTGCCAGGAGTTTTGTAACTCCCAGGTACATGGTGGCTGTATTCTGATCACTACCACAGTGCATATGAAGAAGGAGCTTTTGCCTTCCACCCCTCGTGCCATTTTTGTGAACTGAAAGGGCCCTGGGGAGCTAAGTATTTGCTTCATTTGAAAAATTATGTGTAGTATTCATTACTCGTAAGTTTCCCAGTGGCACAAACAGCAGGTCCATGGGGCCATTTCAGTTCATGAAAATGATGCAGGGTGGGGGAAAGGCTGAATTCCCTTCTCCGTGGGTGCTATGGTTGCAATTGGAACATGCCCCCCCCCCCCCCCCCGGGTGTGGGGACATCATGAACATGATTGCACAAGTGATAGAAAAACCTCATGGTTGCCATGGGAACTTCTGCATCACACGTGCATTAGTAAGGAAAGGGAAAGTATGCATCATGCTATATCTTTTACTCCTCCCAAAGAAGGATTCCTTCCTCCAGAAAAATAGTCTTTGGCCACATCCACATAGTGGTGGAAACAGCACCCCTGCTATCAAAGCAGGAGTGAGTGGCATGGGAGCAGATGAGGATGGCACCTGCACATCCCATCCCTGTGTCAGCTGCTGTGGACACTGCCTCCTGTCTGCCCTTCTCCCTTTTCCTCCATTGTGTTGGTGCAGAAATGCCAGTGTGACAACAGTCATGCTGGACCTCCTTGTGGTCCAGCCATACCTCCCCACACACACCTGTTTTCTAATCCCAGTTGACCTTTGGGGAAAATCTGCACTGTGGCTCAGCTCTGAACAGAAAAAAGGCTTATTGAAAAGCTGGTGAGGGGTGTGGAGCTTATCTCTACCAGCTCCCTGGACTGACTATGAGTGAAGCATTATATATTTGGTAGGTTTTTAAAGAAAATCTGTATGCTGCCTGTCCAGACTTGCTTGAGGCGGCGTATAACAAAGAGCATCCACATGGATCCACCATCTGCAGCCTCCTTCGAGCTGGATAGAAGGAGGGCTTCCTTTCATCTGATTCAAAGGAGAAACGCATGAGACATTGTATGGAAGCTCCTGAAAACAGATGAGGCATGCTGAATTCCATACAGGGGGAAAAATCACTGAGTGAATACAGCCTACCTTCAGCGGAACCTTCCTCAGTTCAAGGAAGGGAGCCACTATATCCAGTCCATTATCTCAGCAAATATATGCAAACATGCAGGATGGGGGCATTTGCAGGAGAGATCCAACAGTCATGAGGATGGATTGAGGTGGGTAGCCACATTGGTCTGAAGCAACAGAACGAAGTTTGAGTCCAGTGGCACCTTGAAGACCATCAGTGGTCTGCATACACACTTCTTTAGATACTGCATGCACACAAATGCTTATACGCAGAATTAAACTTTTTTAGTCTTAAAGATGCGACTGGACTCAAACTTTAGTCATGGGGATGGTTAGTGATTCTCCCTTTCAAATGCACCTTTCCTCATTGTTTTTGGCTGCAGCTTGATTTCTGATCTTGGAGCCTTGAGAGGGAAACGACAACGACAACAACAACAATAATAATGAAGTTGGGAGGCATTTACAAAGGAGAATAAGCCATAGGGGAAGGGTCAAGCATCCATTTCTACCAGTACTTCCCTGCATGTAAAAAGGTAAAGGTTCCCTTGCTCGAAAGCCAGTCGAATCCGACTCTAGGGTTGCGGTGCTCATCTCCGTTTCAAAGAGCCAGCGCTGTCCGAAGACATTTCCGTGGTCATGTGGCCGGCATGACTAAACACCAAGGCGCATGGAACGCTGTTACCTTCCCACCGAAGTGGTACCTATTTATCTACTTGCAATTTCTTGCTTTCGAACTGCTAGGTTGGCAGGAGCTGGAACTAGAGACGGGCGCTCACTCCGTCATGCGGCAACCCGGGTCTCAAACTGCTGAACTACCGGCCTTCCACAGCCTGTAGTTCAACGTCTTAACCACTTGAGCCACAGCAGCTCCTTCCCTGCATGTAGCTGCATGTTAAGAGAGAAACGTGAGTTATGAACCCCAAGAACTAGGTCTAAGAAGAGCTAGGAGTTAGACTTAAAAGTTCAGATAACCACTTGATCATCTCAGTTGATCTGTGGTGACAAAGAAAAAGTCACCACAGTTATGGGAAACAAGGCCTGAAAGTGTTATACAGGCTTGCCCTGCTTCAGAAGTGCCAGACTTATGAGAAGAGAAACTTCATTTTAATTTATAGCAATAACAATGCTTATCCCATTTTCTCCTGAAAAACATGCTTTACCTGTAAAAACACTCCATAACACTGCAGTCCTGAACAATGCAAAGGATCTGAGCAGCCACTAAGTTTAAAGCAGGAAATCTATAAAGACAAAGAAAAATTTACTTTACAAATACACTTTAGGCTGCACAACGCAAGTAGAGTGCTCACATATTCAATTCTTATTGTTTGTTTGTTTGCTTGTTTAACACATCTATATTCTGCACTCTTAAAATTTGAAACATTATGAGCCAGGCTGTAATGTTACAATATAAAAGTCAATATAAAATCAAGTTCCATAACAATAAACTGTAAAACTAGCAGCAGACAAAGGCTTGTATCCAGCGAGAATCATAAGCAGAGCTCATGTACTGACATTTTCCCAGCTCCAACTCCCACTGCAGCCCCCCCCCCCACCAGTTCTGCACCAGGGTTAAAGTTCTCAACTCCAGTGCTGGAAAATTCTGGGAGATTTGGGGTGGAGCCCAGGGAGGGAAGGGAAGGGACCTTAGTGTGATAGAATGGCATAGACAGCACCCTCTGAAGTTGCCATTTCCTCCAAGGGAACTGATCTCTGTAGTCCGGAGATCACCTGTAATTCTGGGAGAGCTCCAGGTCCCACCTGAGGTTGACAACCCTATCTGGGGTACAAGAATGAACTCCAGTGAACTGGTTGGGGGTAATCTGTGGAAATTGTCCCCCCTTCTCTGATGGTAGAACGGTCCTTTCGATGGCAGAAAGTAGCTATTGGATACAAGCCAATATTGTTAACCCCCCGCCCTTAAAAAAGTGTTATTATTATGCTTACTTCCGAAAGTATCTTGTGTATGTATTTCAGCCTCTCCTTTGTGGGCAGTAGTAAGGTACACCTTTTTAGTAACAGGCCTGCAAAAAAGGAGGGGAGGAAGCATACATAAATCTTTGAAATATAATATTCTGAATATGATTGCCTAAGGCTACAATCTTGAGTAGATTTAGAAGCAAGAAGCCAATTAATTTTAATGGGCTAGGGCTGGACTGCCTATTGCTTATAAGCAGCAAATTAGAGCTGCCAAATAATATGTTACGGGGTGGGTGGGTGAGTAGACTTCAGGCTTTGAAAAAATCTACTTTTTTTTTGTTTCCCTGTGGTTTATCAATGGGAGCCAGATGTAAAATGGCTCCCCCAGAGGGCACAATTACCTGCTGTACACATCAGCCATATATTGGAAGACTAGGCTTTTACTGTATTTAGGACAAAGAGCACTGGACACTGAGGACCCACACATGACAGAGTATGCAGAGATTGACTCTGGGGTCCCCACCCTATGTACCAAATAGGCATAAGTGGACTTGCAGGTTCTGCTCAGTTCCCTTGAACAGAGTGCCTGATTTGGATCACAACTGATGTGGCAGCTTCCTTGTAGCCGCCATGAGGATACTGTCATGTCTAGTTTGGCTCTGTGGGTCAGATGGAGAGGGGGCTTCATGCTTCCGCTCTGAACTGTTTTTCCAGCCAACAATCATCCCAGAGGTCTGCTATTTTGCTTCTTGGGGAAACCTATGAGTACCCTTGTGGTCCCCCCCCCCATTTCTAGTCAGGAAAATGGCACATGTGTAATGGAAGGGCATCATACCTATGGAAACTGAGGGGAACCTGCAAAGTCATGTGTAACTCTCAATTGTCTGAACACAGGGTGGGGAACCTAGACCTGACCTGTATACTCTGTAATGTGTGAAGCTGATCTATCATAACCCAACTCATGATCTAGTAGTAGATCATAATCTGCCTTTTGCCCATCCCTAATATGTATTAAGCCCTGACATGGCTAGCCCAGGCTAGCCCAATCTTGTCAAATCTCGGGAACCAACCAGAATTGGCCCTGATTAGTACTTTGGTGTAAGACCACCATGGTTGCTACACAGTGGCAGGCAATGCCAGTCACCAATGTCTCTTGTCTTGAAATCCCTATGGGGTTGCCATAAATTGGCTGCAACTTAAAGGTGGGGGGAGTATAATACCGTTTCCACTAACTCTCTGCAAACCTGACTTCATCAAATATTGTCCTGATCTTCTGAACCCTAAACTTGCTCCTTAACTGCCACCTGAGTCTTTTACCCCAGCAAAAATCTGTACTGCCCCTTCCCTTGCTTCCCACACAGACTTAAGACTCTCTGAGTGAAGATGATGCCATTTTATGCTCTGTGCAGCACCTAGTACCCTACAGCTACGAAATAAAGTTTCATTGATTTATATTTATAAGTCCTAAACTGATTTGTCCCAATTTACTTCAAACGAAAGCTTGGGTTTAAGCCAAATAAATTGGACAAAATCAGTTTAAAACCCTCCAGATTAATTGGTTTATGGATCAGTCTGTAAAGCTGAAATCCTTTGACACTTCTGCCAGCACTGTTCCCTGTACGGAGACTTGAGCATCAAAGCATATTGGAAATGGTTGTTGTGTTTAAAAGGTCATGTAAATAACATCTGGAGCCTTGGAAGAAAGATTATGTCAGTCTCTGAATGACAGTCACTAAAAATACCCACATTAAAAAAAGCGCAATAGATTTTGAAAATACGCTGGGGAAAACCCAGTTACCCTTGTCCATCATTGAAAGAAGAGCTTCTGACATTTCTCCAAGCCATGTCAGAAGAAATATTGTTCCAAACTCTTGTAAAATAGCACACAGGGAGGGAGAAACAGAATTGGTTTCTGGTGTTGTAGAATTTGGAACAGCTTGTTTGTGTTAGGAAACAAATATCTTTTAGCCAGTGGAAACTTAACAGGCAAAAGGTTCTTTTTCCCCTCAAAGATCTGGGTCACCAAGGGAGAATGGGAGTAAATTGTCACAGGATACAAAAGATATTTGTGGCAAGGACAAAGAAGGGTAAAAAAAATGCAGAAGATTGTTTAGCCTCTGAAACGGAAAGGTTTGAAGTAGTGGGGTAGAATGCTGGACTCTGACAGAGAGACCGGCAGCTGTAAATCTCATGGAGACCTTGGGCTGGGGCTTAGTGGCAGAGCACCTGCTGTGCATACAAGAAGGCCCCAGGTTCAGTCCCTGGCATCTCCCCTTAAAAGGCTCAGGTGCTAAGACCCTGGAGAGCTGCTGTCAATCACAGCAAACAATATTGATGCTGATGGACCAATGGTCTGATTCAGTATAAGGCAGGGTCATGTGTGTTCACTGTTTATCTACATAGCCTATCTTGCAGGGCTGTTATAAGAAAAAAAACCTGGAACAGTTCCTTGAAGGAAATGCAACATACCAATGGGATCAGTAGATAAATAAGTTTCATCTGACGTCTGAAAGTACAGAAACATAACACATGGACCAGGAACATGATAAATAAATAATACTGTAATTGCATTGCAATAAAAAAGAGCACAGAGTTGTATCTGGAGCTGTATACACACAGAATTCCTGTAAATTACCCTTAGCGTTTGAAATTGCCCTTCATAAAAAAGTAAGGGTCAACAGGATGCAAGTGAAAGGCAATGACAGAGGTAATATCATGCCCTGACTACAGTGTGTAAGTAATGTGAAAGACAAATAATTTGGAGATGGTGAACGGAGGAGCTAGGTTAGGAAAGAGAGAGCTTTGGTGGCCCAGAAAGGATATTTTGAATGTAGTGGGGTTTGGAAAGCATTTAAAGGAGATACTGGCCCTTCCGGTGATGTCAGGGGGTGTGGCCTTATGACACTCTTCTGGTGATGTCAGGGGGTGTGGCATATGCTAATGAATTATGCTAATGAGTCCCCCTAGCTCTTTTTCTACGAAACAACCCCTGGTTGCACACATTTAGCAATTTATGAGTGATAGCAAGAAACCAGCTTGTCCCTAAGAGTTTCAACGCCAGTGGTCCACTTGAGGTTCCCTTTAGTCACCATGGCTAGTAACCACTGATAGATCTATCCTCCATGAATCCCTCTGTGGCCATCACTACATCCTCTGACAGTGAATTCCACATTTTAATTACTCAGTGGGTAAACACGTATTTCCTTTTGTCTATCCTAAATCTAGTGTCCATCAATTTCATTGGCTGACCCTGAGTTCTAGTATTTGGGGAGAGGGAGAAAAAAATTCTCTCTGTCCACTCTCTGCCCAATGCATAGTGAATGAAGGGAAATCGTGGAGAACCTAACTTGCATAAAAGTAACAGAAAAAGGAGGAAAATATAACACTGAAGTAGCTGTAGAAAGTTTTAACAGCACTTTGTCCAGATATGAATGAATGCCAGCATAAAAATGCATCAAGTATTTTTTTTCCTTCCAACACAAATCAAGTCCAAAAATACAGACCTTTGTTCACACCGAAACACAGATTTTTATTCACAGGTCCAGAAACAGAAAATCACAAGAATGAAATAGACTGACACTGCATCATCTAGATTTTTTTTTCTTTTTGTTAAAAAATGATTTAATAAATGATGTCTGTTCCAGACTAAATGGCTAGTTGGGAAACAAAGTCAGTTGCCATAAGGAAGAACTCTGTCCATTCCCGAACTATCCTGTTTATTTTAATAGGATGAGATTTGTAGACACATTCTTTCTCTGTCTCTGGTCAATTTGGAATTTTGTTATCTTGACTTTTTACTTTGTTGAGGTTTGAGTTCTTTCGGTTCTTCTCCAAAACTTTTATGGTTCTATGGTTTTTATGTTATGATGATTCAGGTTTTATGATTTTATTATTTTTTACTGGATTTGTTCTAATTCTCCTATGTAATATTAACTGATGCCATAATTTTATTTTGGTTCTGTTTAAGCTTAAGACCTCTAGTCAAATGAGCTAAATATAAGCAAGCAAGTAAGTAAAAAGTTCTTTCAGTGGGTTTTTTGCCCTTCAAAATGGAGGAAGAAGTGGGAAAATCCTTACCTAATGATCTGTAGTGTTCTAGCATAGATGGTCTTTTCCTATTGCCAGATCGCTCAGGATTATGGAAGTCCTGCAGCAAAAGCCTTTTGTTTCCTGTTGGAGTTGAGATGTAATTAATAAGGCGGCTGCTGATAGTCTTTGACACCATGCTTAGCATGCTGATATCCTTCACTGAATAAAAGGGGAGAATAAAAAAGAAAACATACCTGTTAGCCTTTATTCTCAATGCTGTCTAGTACTAACTTCTGTTGCAAATTGACAGGACAGGACCGTCGCCAGAAAAATTTTACTGGGAGGGGGCAAATGAGTACAGTGGTGGTCAGCCCATTACTATTTATTTTTTATGATTTATTTATTTATACTTTATTTTATTTTTTTATTTTTAACGATTTATTTAGTATTTACAACTAACTCTCCAAGAGAGTATATACAGAACAAGTCATATATTAATCACATACAGCATTTTTGGAGTCAAACACAAGTATTATGAGATTACATTTCTATTGTTTTCTATCCAATTATATAATTTTTCCCATCTTTTATGGAACAAAGCTACATCTCTGTTATGTAAAATTTCAGTCAGTTTATCCATTTCTACTACATCTAATATCTTATATATTAACTCTTTCTTAGAGGGGATTCCCTCTTGTTTCCAGTACTTGGCAATAAGGATACGTGCTGCAGTTAACACATACGTAAGTACATATTTTTCATTTTCCGAATAATCATCCGGGATCATATTTAACAGAAAAAATTCCGGGGATAATGGTATGTCCCTTTCCATTAACGCTTTAACAACTGAGTGTACTTTTTGCCAAAATCCTCGTACCATAGCGCACCTCCACCATACATGGAAATAAGTACCTACATTATGCTTGCATTTCCAACAATTACTTGAAAGGTTAGAATAACACTTTGCTAATTTTTCCGGTGAGAGGTGCCTATAAAAATATAATGAAATTGCATGAGATCTCACACACAAACGATTTTACTCCCCGCCCCCTAGACTTTTAAAATCAGGACTCTTCAGCCCTGCTAAATGCTAATTCTGTTCTAGCCAATGGCATAGAGAATTCACATCTGGAAGGTTTATGACAGGATTCACACCTTTTTACCTCAACTCCTTCCTTTTTTACATAGAGAATTCACACTTGAAAGACTTGTGACAGATTTCACACCAACCCCTAGTGTTGATTGGAGGGACATGAAAAATGACTGCTGGGGGCCCAGCCCCTTTTCCCACCACCGTGGCTATGGGCCTGTAACAGAGGCTATGGGCTTCTGACCAAAACATTGCGACCAAAACATTCCAAAGCCTCGCTACTCTCATTTTTAGATACATCTGTAAACTTATTCTTAGCTTCTTACCTGGAAGATATTCCAAAACCATTTGAAAGATCTCTAAGGGAAGCGCTTTGAAATTCCCAAGTGTTGACAGAGATGGAGAATCTGTGTCCAGAACATTATTAAATTTGTTGTAATGGCGGCAGCTACGTCGATATTTCTGGTTGGGAATCAAGGTGTAGCTGGTTCTTATAGGAGATGTCATCTTTCTTCCTTGGCCCATAAATTCAGCCTGAAAGAATGAAACAAACAAAAAATCAAATCCAGCCTCAGTTAAAATACACAGAAGGCACAACGATTAGGAAAATTAAATCCACAGGAAAAATAAAATAAGTCATGACTGCAAGGACAACATAATGTTGGAATTAATATCTTGCTACATAAATGGAACACATGGATTTTATTAATACAATACACTACATATCAAGTACTTGTCTAAATCGGTATCTTTAATTTCCTGAAGTGTTTTGCAATGCATAATTAAGACCCAGTGCATAGCAGGTTAGTAGGTTAGACCCTATCTGTTTTTCTTCTGGTTTAAGAAGGAAGAAAGGTGATCTCATTCAATTCCTTGTCTCAATGGAGACCCCCCCATCTCTCAGGGAATTTTTTTTACACAGGTCCACAATCCTGTAGCCATTTTAGGGTTCCTCTCTCTTGCACCAGCAGATAAACTGGTAGGAAACAACCAGTGAGTTATATAAGTAGGAGCTTTATAAGTAGGAGCTTATGCCAAGATTCAGGTTCAATTTTAACTTATTAGTTCAGAGTCAGAAAACATCAGAGCAGCCCAAGTCAATAATCAGATTGTTGTTCTCACAGATCAGCAATATTTAATGTGTAAATTTGGAGCATGTAATGATATCTGGGTTATGCATGCATAGGTATAAGGTGTTCATTCTCCCAATGCGGCAGGATTTTGTTCACCCACATAGCAAATCTGTATACACAGAAATGTACTCGCAATCAAGGATTGGTTGGCAGGCTCAGGGTGTTATGACTGAAAGGGACCAAAGGCTTCTAGTGCAGCATTTTGATTTTAATTTAAATTAAATTATACAAAGGTTGTACTTGGTATTTAACTGTACAACATATCATTACAAGTCATATGAGTGCTGTGTGTTTGTCAAAGTAGGACCTTTATTACACCAGTATGCCAAATTCCCAGTAATAGTTTACAATTTTGACTTCTCTGAAGATAGATCCAGCTGTGTTGGTCTGTCCACTGGCACCTTTAAAACCAAGGTATGAGCTGTCATGTCCACGTACACTTCCTCAGATACATTGAAATGGAAGTTACTAGTCCATACATATAAGTAGAGGCTGACCAGCAAATTAGCATACAACATAATGAAGATGTTTGAACAGATGCAAACAGGAATAACAAGCTAAATTTATATGGCTACCATTTGTTTGGATTTAATTCCAGGGGGAAAACAGTGGAGCAAATAAATATGTCAAAAATGGACACAAATCTGACATCAAGAATCACAAGTCTGAGAAACCTGTAGGAGAACACTTCACTCTCACAAGACATTTATTGCAAAGGAACTTCAGGAACAGATTGGAAAGGGAAATTGCTGAATTACAACACTCTGAACAACCCTCCAGGACTTAACAAGGTTATTGGTTTCTTATCTCACTACATATGCGAAATTCATTCAGTCCTTACATCTGTATTCTCACCAAGAAGGGCTGTACATCCTCTTTATTTTAGTGTATATCTTATTTGGAATGGTAGATTAGAATAGTGATTGTAATGTGATGCAATTAATATTAGAATGTAATGTCATTTAGAATGATATATTGGAATGTATTTCTCTGGTCTGGTAACAGAGGAGACATAACACTACACTACATATCACTCCACCTCAAAGAAAAGGATGCTGTTAGTTACCTCCATGCTTGAGAGGATGCAGATGGAGCATAACAACAGGGTCTTGGTTAATTACTCTTAGCACTCCACAATTAAGAAGGATATGTTTACACATCTATCTCCAATTTTGACATATTTGTTTGTTTCACTGTTTCCCCCCCTGGAATTAAATCCAAACAAATGGTAACCATATAAACTTAGCCTGTTATTCCTGTTTGCATCTGTTCAAACATCTTCATTATGTTGTGTGCTAATTTGCTGTTCAACCTCTACCTATATGTATGGACTGGTAACTTCCATTTCAATGTATCTGAGGAAGTGTGCGTGCACACAAAAGCTCATACCCTAAATAAAACTTTGTTGGTCTTAAAGGTGCCATTGAACTCTAACTTTGTTCTAATTTTGTCTTCTTTCATTAAACAATGAGTCGGTTTAGTCATTCTTGCCCCTAACTCCCCTGTTTTATAACTGTAAATGTATTCTTTTCTCTCCAATATTTGGCATATAATATTTTAGCTGAAGTCACTGTATAATTTATTAATCCTTTACAACTCTTGTTTATTTGCCAGGTCCATGTTAGTAAAAACGAGACAGAGTATTTGCAATGATTTTCAGGCTTTCTCCCTCTAGGAAATGCTGCCCACGTTGTCCTGTCTGCTGATGAATCTCTGTATATCAGCCAAAGAACACAGAATGATGCTGAAAGCTAGTGTAACACATTTTAGGTGCTCAGTTGTTGCAGAACATTGGCAGGCCTGTTAGGGCTAATTGTTGTGCTATTTGAACACAGGGTGTGAAAGAGCACACCCTACAGTCTCTTGCCGCTATTACAGGAGAAGAGTGACTGTAGTATCAGGCCCAATCTGCATCTAGCATTTGCTCCGCTGTTTTACCAAACCCACCCTGGAACAGAAAAAAATGCAGCTCAAAACCACATTCAAACCAACACCATACTGACTGCAGAGTCACCCCTGAATGGCCATAAAAATAAATCAATAGCCAGAGATCAAACAAAGTGAAATGGCATGCAGTCTGGACACTGCCATAAAATCCGACAATCAATCAAAGTGAAAGTGGCATGCAACGTAGATCAGAATTTCTCTTCCAGTGTGGGTTTGGTAAAACAGCAGAGCAAATGCTAGGTGCAGATTGGGCCTCAGTTATTGCATTAGCTGAAAGCCATAACAAAACAAGACAATCACAATATCAAGTAAAATCCACAAAATACCCATTAGAAGATTAAAACACATGATAGGAAGTGACTGAAGTAAGCAAGCTATCATTCAAGGAAGCTTGTCCACAAAATTCTCAAGAAGTCTCTCCGCAACAAAACAATAAAATGAACAATAAATACAATAAATAGGTTATCTGTATTGAGATTGCAGTAAAAAATCCTGACTAGATAGCAACAGTATCTCTGTATAGTAACGGTCCAATAGCCATCAAAAATGTAGAATCAAAAGACACAGAATCAAAGACAAGAAGAATTTACCTATTGCCTAAAGCCTGGGAACACAAAACCTAGGACTTAAAACTCATAGTGGATTGCTCAGGCGAGCCTAATCTCATCAGAACTCAGAAGCTAAGCAAGGTTGGCCCTGGTTACTATTTGGATGGGTGACCACCAAGGAAGTCCAAGGTTATTACACAGAGGCAGGCAATGGCAAACCACCCCTGAATGACTCTTGCCTTGAAAACCCTAGAGCAGTGATGGTGAACCTTTTAGAGACCGAGTGCCCAAACTGCGACCCAAAACCCACTTATTTATCGCAAAGTGCCAACACGGCAATTTAACCTGAATACTGAGGTTTTAGTTTAGAAAAAAACAACTCATACATTAACATAAGATGATCCAAACAAAGTAAGGAAAGCAATCCCAAATGCTTTCATTTTCTTAAAATTATTTGGCAGAGAATTCCACACTTTAATGACGGTCTGGGCCTGGCTGGGGCGATGGCACGCATGCCCACTGAGAGGGCTCTGAGTGCCACCTCTGGCACGCATGCCATAGGTTCGCCACCACTGCCCTAGAGGGTGGCTATAAATCAGCTACAATTTTATGACCATCACTACCATTTAAAACTCAAAAGTGTAGGCACCAAGTGGATAGGTATTGGCATGGAGTTCTGCCAATAAGGCAACACAACAGAAAATGTTCTTGCATTGATAGTCACCCACAATACAGACGACAGAGGCACACAAATTAGGATCTCTAATGAAGTTGGGCATGGCAAGCCACCTCTGTTCGTCTATTGCCTTGAAAACCCTATGGAGCTGACAAAAGTTGGATGTGACTCGACGGCCCTTTACAAACACACATATGAGGAGCAAGTGTCAGGATACTGATAATCTAATTGAGGAACCTGTTAATGTTGGGTGTGACTTGACGGCCCTTTACAAATACACAAATGAGGAGCAAGTGTCAGGATTTTACATACTGATAATCTAATTGAGGAACCTGTTAAAAACACTTCTGGGGAAATGCAGGCTTACCTAGAACACAGAGCCCATCACCTTCCTCTCTGCATAATCTACCTTTTGGCAGGATAAAATGGAGGAGGGGATAACAGGTCCAGCATATACCCTGTATTCTCAGGAGAAGAGTGGGATAAAAAGGCAATAGACAGATGGAAAACTACAATTCTAGACTGAAGCACTTACTCTTTGATTCCACACTTCCCCAATCTAGAATTCAAAGTGAATCAGGCAGATTACAGGTGCAACGAAGATGCCTGTAGACAACAAATAGTTTCAGATTACTGAAATAAGCAAGACATGATACATACTCAATGGGAAAGACATAAACAAATAAGTCTATGATGGTTAACCAATTTGAAACAGAGGAAATTTCTTTCCAAATCTTGAGCAATAGCAAGATCTATCCACCAAGGGAAATTTTACTGGGGTTCAACTCCATGGCACTCAGTATCCTACCTCCAATTGTGCTAGTCACCTGTGCTTTACTTCTCTCAAATTTATACAGGTTTCATGCAAGGTACCTTCAGCTTTGTATAGCTAGACCATATGAAAATGAAAAGTATTACTTTAATATGATTCTCAAGGCCCTTAACAACTGTTGTTACTCGGTATGTATCTTTTTTGTGTGAAAAACTGCATAGTTGAGATGGGAAAAAACTAGGAAAAAGTTTGACCTATGCAATCAAAATCAGTCATAACAACAAACAATGGAAGTTTGTGCATATATATTGTGATTTATTAATAGTAAAGGAACCATCAAGATTCAAGACTTTCTTCCTGGCTCCAAACCCTCTGTAAATTCTTATAGCCTGTGAATTCATGTTTGGTCCACTAACAACGGCTACTGTCAG